TATTGTGATGCTGGCAACTGTAGTCTAAGCATAGCTCAAGACTCTTTGTGAAATAGATCCCTGAGGCCTGTCTCGTAAAAAGCTTCGTCACTTAAACGACCGCTCGTAACAGGGTGTGTTTGATGTATCTCCAGTTACCAGTCACATTTAAATAGAAATGACAGCAGAAGAACGGTTGTTTGCGATCGTAATTCAGCTGCCTGATACCGCGACTGTAGCCAATTTCCGATCCAGTAAATCTCCGGTATGAACGCATCTAGAACGAGTCAAGATAAGTTTGTGACTGGTCTGAGATGTGGCTCGTTTTAAAACATCCATCAGAAGTCTAATAAGTCAACAGCAGCCCGCAGCAATGTTCAACCAGTTATCCTCTTTGTTATGTTTGCTAACCGCATGCACAATTTCATTCCATACTTATCAACCACTTTTGGAATAATATAGTTGCAAGTTGAAGTAATAAAGAAATCATTAGGCGTGTTGGCATTGACAGATCTAGGAATTCAAATCAAGGGTGGCGGGAATACTTCTTCCGCACCCTTGTTGCTTAATTTCTTTGGGAAAACCATGTTATTTAAAGTATTTTGCGGTAAGCAGATTGAGTCTTTTCCTCTTTTATTTTGTGGCTTATATTGGGGGGGGGGGAAGAAGGCGAAAGACTGACCATTCACACTTAGGACAATGGAGAATTCAAGAAAATACCACACTCTAGATACTTTACACCAACACGCTGTCACACTTAAACACATCGTTACACCCAACACATTGTCACACCTAACACACTGACCACATTACAGTCCGCCAAACATGGACTTGCTCTGTTATTTCAGTGACAGCGCCAATAACAGTCAGTTTGGTGAACAATTGATGGTGATCGACCAGGCAGCTGCTCTAGGCATCGACAAAAAGGACACCTTTGATCCCTCAGACTTTAAAGCAAACAGACAGGTGGGTACTGTTTATATTTCTTTATTTTATTTCATTTTTTTTCCTTTGAGACCACCGTCCTCTTGAATGAGGAGCAGAGCTAATATAGTGACAGGACCACACACATGTACCTCACTTATGGAGATATTTTCACCAGAGTTAATCATGGGGACATTGCACCTCTGTGTAACCACCACTTATCATATGTGGTGGTGAAAACAATTAATGAGTGAAATGTAACTCTCCATATCAAATTCACGTGGTAGGTGAGGTTCATGACAGTGCAAATGAAAGCTACGAAGTGACTGAACCTTAGCCTGCATTCCCACAGATTTAGATCGATCCATCTGGATCGACCAAACCCCCTGGGTGATCATGCTAAATTGCTGTCAGCTCAAGAGGCTTAAATGTCTGTCACGCCTACCGAATTAGCTAGGGTAAAGATAATTACCCCCTAACAGCTTTACTAGGCGTGACAGACATTTAAGCCGACCAAGTTGACAGCAATTTAGTGAGACTCCCCTGGGGGATAGATCGATCTAAATATCTGTGGGAATGGTCTCTTAGATCAGTAAGCTCAGCTTAAAATTTAGCGAGTGCGCCAGACTTTTTCTTCTTGTCCTTGTGTATTAGTGTGGAATAACTGACATTAAATCATTAACACTTGGAACATTATGAGGCTGAGATGGACAAACAAGGATAAATCAGCATGGATGAATAACAACAAAACCTTTTGTCATTATCACCCAAAATAAATCAGTAAATGACTTTCGACCGTACTTTCCTTGGCATTTTCTATCGATCGACTGAAAGTTAAACATCAGCTAATTGCTTGATATATTATTATATTTGATAAGTATAAATATTTAAGTGTCGGGCCTTTCGCTAGTATTTATTCTTCATAGTATTTGCTACTTCGTAATTGCAGCTTCGACTGTCTACGGAAGCAAAACGAATTTTAACAAAACGACCAGAAGAAAGGACACAAGAAGAATTAACGTATGTAAGTGGGCACTTTTGTACTACGCACTGCACTTCTTTCTCAATAATTGTATGATTTCTACGTCTCTATTTATCGTTGCAAATAGTAACACACGTTCTCTGAAGTGACTCCTGAAAAAAATGCACTAATCTGGATCATATCCCTGTAAGTAAGGATATAGGTCTATACACAATAGCACGCGCGACGATTGAAGTGGCAAAATAATGCAGGAACTGTAGTCCTATTATACAACAATATAAGAGGGGCCATTGACATACTTATCGTATGAAAAAAAATGAAAATAAAATTTTGGACTGCTTCACCATTCTCTGCCAGAAATATTGAAGTATAATCAGGCCTTTTCTTTCAACCCCTTCGAAATACGACACCTGATGGCTGTTATAGAATGGCACAGATCACATAGTTTTGTCTTTTCCGCCCAGGCAACCATCGCACTCCGGTCGCACAAGCAAGTGGCGGACTATCCTTTACGGATGCAGAGAAAGCTGGCACAGTATGGCGTACTGGAGAGGTAAATAGTCGGACTGCTCGAGAAACTGTATGAAATACTACAATCGAGAATTATATTTAAAAAAATAATAAAGTTTTGATTAAATTAGAATACTGAAACAACTGAAGGATGATAAACACTTTTCCTTACCAAGAGTATTCGAAACTTTCTTACCCAACACATATTCAATGCAAGACCCCAAATGACTCATCGTAACATTTGTAACATATCTATTTTTTCAGTTACGAGTCGAAGCGTGTTATAGTCCGCCAGGGTCACCCTCCTCAAGGTTTTTACTTCATCCTCTTCGGGACTTGTATCGTAGCCATTTTCGCCCCTGGGAGTGAAAAGGCGAAGACCGTTGCCTATTTGTCCAGAGGAGAGAGTTTTGGGGTAAATTCAGTTCGATTTGTCTTTTAACGATTAAAGTTTATTGTCTGTTGCATGTGTGGATAATATTATTTTTTCTCTTTTACTATAGTGATAGGGGCCCCACAGTATGTTTATCAACATTTTGCATTTATTATAAGGTGAAACACTCCATGTGGAGCGCTGCACATGTACATTTGATTGCAAAGATCTTTTTTAAAACAGTGAAATAGAAATCAGATCGTCCTTTTTCACGTTAAAATTTATAGACACCTTTTCACGGATGTCATTTTGCCTATTTAAATACCTGTGCAGTAAGTTACCATTTTTTCAGTCGTTTGTTTGTTTATTCACTTGTTTTTTTATTATTATTATTAATATTTTTTTTTGTGCAGGAGCTTTCGATAATTAGCCGTGACAAACGCCAGTCGACCATCATTACAAAGAATTACGTAGAGCTCCTCTGTATATCCGCCACGGTAGGTACACAGTAAACCGCAGACTAGTTACACATGCAGATTTTTTATATGTCTCATATTTTTCTATTTTTATGCTAAAAAACACGTTTTGTTTTTGTTTTTTTTTTTGTGGGTAGGTGGGCAGCTCACTGCTTTTGTCAAAATCTTGAGTTTGATTACGTGTTCATTTTTAACCTTCATCCACTAGATTATAAGTATAATATAAAAAAAGGTTGAAATTTTAAATAGTTTTGTAAAATAAATATCGCGAACGTAAACTGATAGTCCCTGAAACTTATTTTTCCTGTCTAGGTTTATGAGCAAATATTCATGGTCGGGGGAGCAAAGAATATTAACGATCCTGATCACAATGATTTCATCAGGTAAATCATATTTATGGCATTTTATTAATGGTAATAATCATTATATATTTTTGAAAATGCGACCTATTTAAGTTGTACATTATTGTAATAAAGGTCCATAACAGTACATTGTGTACGTTTAGAATTTAAAATAAATAAGGATTGTTAATTGTCAAACCATGCGCAAAAATCCAAAAATTGAAAGAGGGTGACGGGAACATGACTGATTCTACCTACCCATAGTTGTAACGTGTTTCCAGACGTGTTTTTCACGCCGGTGTAACGAAACTGAGGGTCATTGTAACAGAAAGTCCGCCTTCCATATAGTTATAATGGTTAGGGTTAGTCTGACCTACGTGGGTCAAAATCTAGGGCGAGGCTCACCTGTAACAATGAATGGGAAGCGGACTCTCTGTCACGTTACACCGGCGTTGTTTATTAGTAAGTATTAAATGTTTCAGGAGTATCGACTGTCTTGACGGATGGCCAATAGAGCGTCTTCAGCTAGATCCAAAACTGTTCGTTTTCTCATTCTTTAAGTAAGTGTTTTTTTTTTTAATAAAGTAGATTACACATTGACTTAGACTACCGTCGCCATTGTCACTAAAAGTTTCGAATATTGCTGTTCCAAACCTTTTCTTTTTTATCACTGACTTTTAGTTCGATGGACATTTTCTATGTAATTTTTTATTTTATGGAAAACAGCTGCTATTGAAAATGTTACATTTTTCATTATTTTGTACTAGAATTGAGTAGTAGTATTTGCTTTAATTATCGATTTTCTCCGTTTTGTTTCAGACGAGGTGGTGTCATCGTGAGAGATAGCAATTATTCTGATTGGATCATTATCGTCAAATCGGTATGTTTTTACCTTCTCTTTGTCATAAAATATTTCAATATTCAAAGCCATGTGCCTATTTGGTATTTTCTCAGCATTTGTAATTCCTCAGTGCAACTTTTTAGTAGGCCTATTAAAAATCATATTGAACCAATGCTGATATAAATTTGATGACATTTGCGTGGACCATTTTCCACGAAAAATTTCATCTCCATGTCATCCTTACAGGGCAGTGTGCAGGTCCTCAAAAAACTAGTACAGGTCAACCCACAGGTGGATATAAACACTGGACGATTGATTCCGCAGAAGATCGTGGATAAAACTTATGGATACACTTGTTTCCAAATAAACCAATCAGAATATGAACGCTATTTGACAGACAATGAAATTGAACTTCCAAGTCCTTGCGGTGGAGAAGACGCAGACGATGTCCCTATCGCAGATGTCATAGCTGAAGTCGAGGCTTCCAACTCATTGTCGCCATCTACCGGTGCTCATCACAGAGATCTATCTACATACAGAAGAACCCAGAGTGCCTTTTCACAAGCGCCTGTAATGCTACAAACGCCAGCGTCCATTAAAAGAAACGTTAAATCCGCAAATGATAAAGCTGCAAAAGTTACACAAAGTTTACTCCAGAGAGTATGTATTGTGATGTCATTTTGAAAATATTTTTATATTAATTAATAATACGAAACATTGAACTAAACACCGTGAAAAAAGATGTGAATGCATTTTGTGGGCTCTTTTGTGATAACTTGTTTTTTTGCTTTTAAAACAACAATTTTGGGTAATTTATTTTCAAAGTTCTATTATTCCCAGAGACCAAGACTGGCAAACAAACTCAGTGCACATAACAAGAAGCAGAAGAGCGTCCCAGAGCAAGGTAACAGAATCCCGACCTTACAATTTGTAAGGCTTATTTGTTTTTGTTTTTTTATTTCTTTTATGGTAAAATGTGACAAACTTATCAACTGGTGTCATATGGTGACTAATATACAGGTATTTCATGTTTGAAACATATAAGCAAAGTTGTGAATAAAAAGTAAGCGGCACATGTGAGTGATAACGGGATCACGCACGCAGAGACAATTTAAGAGCAAAATACTTTTGTGGCTATGGCCAGGAAATATTAAATAAAAAAGAACGAAATCTTGAGTGGGGATAGAAATTGGAAGTGTCAGGAAAAAGTGTGTTAATGTTTAACTTACGAGTAATTACGCCATTTCTGTACCTGTACTTTGCCTTTGGCTATTAGCATTCAGAACTGTTTGAAATATGTAAAATGATGTATGATTGGACGGTTTGTTAGTATCCCCGGATGCCTAGATTGAAAAGTGACATGGAGACGATGATTGACAGCGGTGCCCCCTGTACATATACATGTACGTATAGAATGATTATGGAAGATAGGAAAGAAAGACCAAATGATTAACTGCCCCCCTTGGCTATTAGATTCCAATTTAAAAAGCAATAAAAAAATGCACTCCGATCCACTATTAGATGTAATGGATATTGATTGATAAACCGTTCAAGTTTGTGACCAATTCTGCACTGTTGGACTTAAAAAGAAGCCTATGACAGTGTTTCAGGCTGGATGTATACTCTGATCACTGAGAAGCAGTTCACACTCACCGAATTGCTTATTTCAGTTCCCGTTAAGACTGCGCCGGATGATGCTGACGACGATTTGGAGCCTGGGTTCGTCAACCAAAAACGCACACTTTTCGACGATCTGGATTCAGCCTATAAAGAAAGAGTAAGTTACTAATTACCAATTATTTATTTCCACCTAGATATCTCCCGCATCCTCGAATACAGAGAATGAGAGACGCGGCAACAAGTGCTTGTTTGTTTTGTGTCGATTTAGGTGTAAGCACTGTACACGTAAACATTTTTATAACGGGAATTGTTATAATATTTTTGAAAACAAACATATATTGCAGGAGCATATCGTGACAGAAGCTGACCTCAACCCACAGTTTGTGCAGGTGCAAACGCTGACAAAAGGATCCGTATTTGTAAGTCTCCAGTTATGGCTTTGGTTGTGGCCCCCTCGTGGCTAGGCACTAATCAATACTGACCGACACTAAGCGGTGGTCAATTTTCTCCAGCTGAGGTCACCTCATGGCTATAGGGGACAAATCTAAGCTGGGATATAACTGACTGACGCTGCAGGCAGAAGTCAATTTCCCCAGCTTAGGTATATAAATGTACCTAGGCAAGATGTGACCGACGCCCAAAGTCTGTAACCGTTTTGTTAGAGGGATTTTTAAGATGATAGTTAAACACAAAGAGTATATTTAGTCAACACCTTACTTATCTGCCATTTTCTCTATACCAGTACGAAGATGTAGCGTCTCACTTCACCACTCACGTGTGAAAGAGTGGGAGAAAAACAGTGCGACACATAATCCTGGATCCGCCCCTGACATTGTAGAATAAAGGGTTTTCCCGGAAGGTCACTTCTTTAAAATAATTGACCTCCTCTTGATCAATCAGAAAGCAACTATACCATTTGTCATTTTATTTGCACCCTCTTGATCCCTCTTAGGTTACATGTGTGTGTGTGTGTGTGTGTGTGTGTGTGTGTGCGCGCGCGCGCGTGTGTGTACATTAAACACACTGTATATACATGTATATGGATTCTTGCTGCATGTATTACTTAAGTAAAGCGCGCACAAAATTTGCTTTTTTTTTCTTTTGCCCTATAGAGTCCACCACGTACAATTTAAACTTTTGTTTTTTGCAGGGTCTAGCAAATATTGTTTTTGACGACCAGCCCAGTCTCTGTATCGTCAGCAATGGTGCTGAATGTATCATGATCAACAAGAAATTTTACCTGGAGCATTGCCCGGATGCATTAATGCGGCGCCTCAGAACGACGGTGAGTTGGGACTGCTCATTGCGATAGCTGAGATGGCTAAGTGTAAGACTGATTGCGTTTGTTGGGACTGGTAATTGTGCGCACGTGACCATGAACACATACATGGTGGCAGAAGCCTCATGATAACATCGGTGACATTAATTTAAAAAGCTGCGTCAGTCGTGTTATGCATATTTCCGCTACCACTCCTTTGTGTACTTTTTTAAATATTCTTAGTCTGAGCAGGCTGCAGTACGAGGTCTGAACATGTTATATCGCCAGCCCCCCCTTTTTTTCTGGTGGGTTTTGTAAAATGTACAAGTAAAAATGTTGTTTTTTATCATCCCAGGTTTCTCCCTTCCCGTCTGACGACGCTACCACTCCTTTGTGTACTTTTTTAAATATTCATAGTCTGAGCAGGCTGCAGTACGAGGTCTGAACATGTTATATCGCCAGCCCCCCCTTTTTTTCTGGTGGGTTTTGTAAAATGTACAAGTAAAAATGTTGTTTTTTATCATCCCAGGTTTCTCCCTTCCCGTCTGACGACGAAATGCAGAAAAACCTCAAGGAGCGCGTCAACTGGGACGTATACCGGCAAGCCAGGCTAAACCACGTCGTCTTCGATATACAGCAGCTAAAAATGAGATTCAACTATGACGCTTTCATTTCGTGGTGACAGGACTACACATTTTGAATTTTACACTCATGATGGTCTTTGCAATTTGTTCAAAATCTCAATAGTTGTCCAGTTGTGGAGTACTAATTTATACATAGGACTAGGGCTTTTGATTAGAATACTCATTTTGGCAATCTTCTTTATTGAATATAAAAGTCCTATAACGGTTTATTTTTCATATTTACGATAAAAACCATTTGTGGCTCAAATGCAAAATCTAAATTGACCAACAAACTTCATCAAGAGCAATGTACATACATGACATACATGTACTGCATGACGAAAACGTTTTTTATGCTGGGGTGCGAAGACCAAGATCTGTCAAGACAAAAAGGAAGCGGTTCGATTTTTTTTACCGTCCTAATTTCTTAGAAATGATGCCATATTTGTTAGCGTCATCTTCGTGTATCTGCGCATTGCGAGGAGCTCATGATCTCTTAGACATTGTCGGATACAGGGATATATACAGGGAGCCTAAGGCAAACCACCTTACCCCTTCACTTCTTCTTGATACCCTGACTCCGCAAGTGTAACAACTTTTGATCAGATATCCATTACATGTACCTTTACAGGATGCTGAATTGTCTATAGATTAACTAATAAAATGTATTTTTGACGTTGCTTCGTACATGTGTGGTAGCCGGGATACAATTTTGGATCCTTTGTTTTAGGTTTAATACGTTTTTCTTCTTATATTCAAACATAACGATATTCCGCGGGTGGGGATGTTATGAGTAATCTTTACGGCTGTTGTTTCGGGAAGGGGGCAGTTTCTGGAAAGACACACTTTCTCACTTTCTCTTTCTCTCTCTCTCTCTCTCTCTCATAATCAATCCAAAAACAATCCTTGTTTTAGTATCATTGTGAACGTGAAAAGGGTTCGTTATCTAGTTGTCATGAACGCATATAGCAATACGGATTTGTCGTCCAAACGCGAAAACTGGTCGTAGCGTAGGGCTTTGTGGTCGCATTTTAGAATCATGCACCAGGCCTACGTCGTCGGTATACGGAATGCCTTGTATACTTGTATAAATATTTCACGAAATGTGCCATGATTTCTGGCCTGGTACATTGAAACTATTTAAGACCGGGTAATGTTGCAAAACGCACCATTTTTCGACTTGCTGTATATTTAAATATAGTGGAGCCGGGAAAAGTAACTTTACCAAAACGTCGTGCTAGTATGGTCGCCATGGGCATTGGAAAGCCATATGATATAGCAATTGTGCCCGGAACGATTTCAACGCGATGAACTTTTCTGTCAAGGCGGTCCAACCTTCAGACCTACCCAACTACCAGACTCGGCACCGAATGATCCTGAATTCATCGGTAGATCAGACCACACTACCCGTTTTCAAGGTGTGTGTCAGATCGTATTACACAGTATCAGAAGCGACACCGCTCTTGCCTAGTACGCGATCTGATAATAGTGACAATTCTCAGCAGGGTTGAAAAGCATTGCATCACCACTCAAAATTTGTTCATTCGGTGCCGAGACTGGTAGTTGGGTAGGCCTGAACCTTGAACCCCAAAAAAAGTGTGGTGGTAGGCGCATGTCTGAGATTAATTTCTTCTTATCAAAATGAGACGATTCAAGGCTGGTAGCCCCCCCCCCCCATATTTGACTGCGCCCCTTAGTCGACCACGTGTACTTTCATAAAACGTTGATGATGATTGTGACAGCAGTGCTACCATGGCCAAACAGTACTTCTGCCTCCTTTCTGCCTCCCGTGAAATAGCTTGTTGGGACCAGATTGTCAGCCTTGAAGAGCCCTCAATTTTATCTTGAATGTTCTGGTCCGTTTATCGGACTGCCCACCACCAAAATAATGAGTATCGAGGTCTAATGATTGTCTTGTGTAAGGGTATTTAATACTTGTCACCAGTGGCCAGGGATCTGAGGGTCGAAGCTTACTCTTCACAGCAGCTTCCAAATGTGCTCTCCTACAGGCATTTGATTTACAATTCGTTGACAAATCTATTCAATAATAATAATAATAATAATAATAATAATAATAATAATAATGGTAAAAGTATGGGCCATTGGCTCTTCAGTCGCAGTTTTAACCTCAATTGTTGTGGGGAGGCGGTTGTCGTAGTTCTAGATCTGTGTAAAGGGGGCGTTGGTGGTTAATGCAGCGAATCATAATGTGTTATTAGTTTTTCTCTTACATTACCAGACTTGCCTGATTGATCGGGCAGGTGACCCTTAACGCGATTACTGACAGTTCTTTTTGTCAATACACATTGCTCCTTCTAAGCTGACTCTTGCTGGTTTTCCTTTCTGACCATTACAAAAAGATAACTATCTAACACAAGTACGGCAGTCTCCTTTTCCAACAACGCAAATTCAAATTTAAAAAGGAGCAAAAAACTGAATCCGCCTGTTAAACTCGTTAAGTAATGGGTTGTTTTTCACAGCCATCACTATATTATGAGTTACGGGTTTTATAGTGGACCACACATCAACGAAAGGGTATGGGGAATCGAATGACAAAAAAATGAAGAGGGCTGTCCTGATCAATATGAATTCCATCGACTCACATGTTGCCAGGATCTTACATTGGCAGAAAACCTTTTAAATCATACATAATTTAACCATTCTTCCGCGGAAAATGGCGTCGTCAAAACACTGTCATAATTTGATGAAGTGGATTTTATCTAGGGCATGGGCCGACTAACCCAACACATATAAGTTTGCATTATATGATAGTAGGATATTACTCTGTGTTTAATATTTCATAAGTGGGTAGTCTTTGTCATATCGTGATAATAAATTAGTCTGTGGACAATAAAACTATTATTGCTATTTTTCACAGATAAAGGCCATATATCATTAATTAATTACGCATTTATGATAATCGTATATGTACATCAAAGAGAAGTAGACCTGTTTGAATACATATAGGTTGTCATAGATAATCAACATCAACCTGATGTCAAATAATAGCAATGCCCTCAGCCAGACAGGTTAATACAAGGTCATTTTTAAACAATAGTATTAAGGTATTAGCATCATGTGTACTACTTTATCTCAATCCTTTCCAGACGTTTATCTGTATGTATGCCAGATTTCCTGAGGGAGTACACAATTTATGTATGCGGACATTATCTCGTTATTTTTGTTTTACAGTCTATTTATGTCCTCAGTACTTCGGTGTTTTTGTTTGCACATTTCTAATAACACGTGAGTAGAAAACAAATGGCTTCGGGTCTCAAGGATGCTGAATATACATTTCCCCTTTAGTGTGGGACATCTCTCAATGTTTTTACCAAGAAAGTCAATGCTTTTATTTTTAAGGGTAGTAAACAATTTTTTCTCCAGCTTTTATCCTTCAGCTGTGACCGTTTTAATACTACCTGTAAGTCTTAAACTTATTTAATTCTTACTACTTTTTCTAACACAGCGACTCTTTTGCAGAGTAATGGATTCTCGCAATGTATATTTTTATGTTTAATGGCGAAGTAAATCTCTCATTTTAAATTACTATTTTGCAAACTGTCTGCATTTATATGTGCTCGCACTCTCTTGATTACAACTGCTGTTGTTTGATTTCTTTCTTCTATCCCAATTAGAGCCTGGTGCATGTACATACAGACTGGAGGAGTAAACAAACAAAGCCACATCACCCAGTGTACACAGTTAAATATTTACCTTAAGTTTTACCTCTGAAATGAGATGCATTTCAGCTCAATTCCAAACCTTGACAGACTAAAGATTACTGGAAACATACAATTGAAAACATCTTCACTTCCCTCGCCACAGGCGCGCGCCGTCTCCCGCTCACACACACACACACACACACACACACATCTCCGCGATAGCTACGTTAATATTGCCAAGACATCAAGACATCAAGCCAAACGAGAACTTAAAATTCAACAAAACATATATTTCAACAAAACATCCCTTGGCTGCCAGGGCAAAGTTACAGAAAACAACATAAAATAAAAATTGTGAGTTAAAATGAATTCGCACAGATCTACACCAAGTTAATTCAGTTTAAGGTGTAAATTAGATTTCAGAAATATGCAAAAGAAAATATTTAAAAAGAAATTTAAGTCTTTAAAAATTCAATGGGCTTTCTAGATGGCACATAATGACACCTCTGTGTTTGAGCATGACAGCTAAGTTATTTTTAGCAACTAAATGCTGAACATAAAAGTTATATCACTGCATAAGCTTTCCTCTATAGTAATCCCTAGTGCCGACTATCATTTTTTTAAAAAATTAATGATAATAACAAAAATGACAGTCAATTAATTTCTACCTCTGATTTTTCACTGTAATCATTTAGCAATATTATGGATTCTTGCATATATATTTTAATATATAGCGTGGGTGTTAAAACTAATTTCGACTAATATCAAACATCTCTTACATCGAATTGCTATTACACTCCACAGCTATTGTACTCCTGGCTATAGTAATCAATTTTGTATTCAAGTCCATTTATATATCGTATTGTATTGTAATCTACATATATTTTAGGCAAACTTGGGTTAACCAAGGAGTTGTGACAGTGTATAGATCTTTGGGTTGACTAAATATGTTTCAAGACTACCTCCGACTACTTCAGCGAATAAATTGCGTTGAAATATTTGGTTTGGGTCGATGAGTTAACGAATATAAGTTTTAAGTACCTGTGACGGATGATAAGGTATTGACACGTTGATTGCTTTTCCCGCACGCTGTGCTACCCATTTTACTTAAGGATCGAAGAGATGGCGGACGGAAACTTAGGGTGCATTCCCATAGATTTTAGATCGATCTATCCCCGTGGGGAGTCTCACTAGATTACTGTCAGATAATCCGGCTTAAATGTCCGTCCCGCCTACTAAAAGCTGTAAGGGGGTAATTAACTATGGTGTCCGCTCGGCTGACTGCAATTTAGCCTGAACCCCCAGGGAGTTAGGTCGATCTAAAACTTAATCTTTAGATCGATCTAAATCTCTGGGAAAGCACCCTTACATAACTAGGCACTTAATGTTTGTGATGTTCGGTGGTCAACATGGCTTTTTCCTTACACGGTCCAAGTACATTTTATTACCATTTCTCGATTCCTTTTCAATTCGGTTAAGTTCTGTGTGAGGCTTTAAGTCCAAACCAGAAGAGTAACTTATGACAGTTAATGCTGATTGGTCGAAGCGATGGTTAGCTAAGCTAGCGCCCTCTGGAGCGATGCACCTTTGCGTGAGGGCACATGTAAACCATGGAATGAGCAGTTTTTGGTAAAGATAAGGTCGATTTGACCACCCATTAAACCCACCTGCAAAAGACGGCTTATTCTTAAAGCTTGTTTTTTTCAAGCCCAAATGAAGGCACATTTTTTCATGCAAGAAAAGTGTCGTATCAGCATCTTGCCCTTGAATAAGTATGTATCCGTCTTCCCACATTAATTGGTCCATCGTACTCATGCTGTCATTTATATGGCTTCCTGCGTCTATCCATAGCACCCTCTCATATGTATCCACCATCTCCTTGACAATCACTGGTTTCCAAGCGTACGTGTGTAAATTACGAAGATGTGGCGGATATTTGTCGAAATCGAATTTTCTATATGTTACTCTGCACCACGTCTTCACCTCGGCCACCTGCTCCGGACTCAGGCCTAGGTCCCAAACCACTATATCCCGGTCAGGTGACCACTTATGGACACTTCCAACCAAATTCTTTAATCCAGGAAAGAAAAATGGTGAATTTGACCCGGTAATGAGTGTGAAGCTTAATTTCTGGCCTGGACGTGGCCTATCTGAAAGTAGATCAAGGAAATCAAATAATTTCACCAATTTTAATTAAAATTAAGTCCTTGAATTTGAACATGTGTAGATATTTTCATATCAATCTAACAATTATAATATACTATAATAGTTTATTTTATTTTAACAGTCGTAGGAATCGACGTTAAATTGAATGGGTGAGTTTGCGCATGGTGTCTCTAGAATATATTGGCCTCTATATGGTTGTCTTCGTCTTCATAGTGCGCCAAGACAGAATGTATATCGGTCTAAATGATTCATTTGATTGAATCTTTGTAAAGACTGTAAGCAAAATGTTTGTGTTGTAAAGCAAATGACTTACACTTCACTAATTACAGCTAATGATTAAAACGAAATCAAAAGGATAGGGAGTAAGTGAGTGTAAGATAAATTTCTTTAAGAGTCAACAAGTGTAGAAATTGTCTTCGTGGTAAGGAAAGATGGAACGTGTCAAAGTCATATGTAGTTCGATTTGTTTGGTTAATTTCTCAACAGATTTTCAAGTTTCGGACATGTGTAATACACATGCAAACTAAGGATGGATAAGGTCCAAGAATGAGTAATTCAAATAATATTTTTAATTGAAAACAAGTCCCTTAGAAATTACCTAATAAAGAATTGTTGAATGGTGGTTTGCATCATGAGAATGGAAAATTCCTTGTAATCACGCAAAGACAATGGAAAGAAAACAAGTAAATGCATGATCAGTACGGAGAAATAGAGTATAAATACTTATGAGATTGTATGAAAAGGCAGTCGGTGAAAAAATGTTTGAAAGCTCCAGGTCGCTATAATATTTGTTTCTAAAATCATTTGATTCATTTGGCTGTATCGAGATTCGTTTTTTTTTTTCTTTCTTTTTTCGTTTTTCTTTTCTTTTCTTTTTTATTTGTCAACAAAAGTCTTCTTTAAAAGAACTGATTTCTATTATTGAGCACTTTATTTAATGTCCTTTTATTTTAAAGTATTCTAAAAAAAGGTTTTAAAAACAATGTTCACCCTTTCCAAAAAGCCTTCGGCCATAGTTATGATCACTCCAACGTGTGACGAGGATGAAGTATTTTTATAAAGGGAACTGGAGTTTATGTAGGTTTCCGTATTTTCGTTTTCTGGTTTGTCAGTTTTTAGCATGCATATAGTGGTAGTTTTTATTTCTGTCACCAGATGGCATGGTTCCCTCCGGATAAATCATACAGGGACATCTAGCCACCTGCATATTCAGTCAATATTGTATTAACGGACGATGAATTTGACCCGGAGCATCATCAAAATCAATACCTGTGTAATATTATACAGTGGCTTGGTGAGATGTGGAAGAGTAAAAAATACCAACGTGTAAAGTTCACGAAATCTTTAGATTTTTTACTATGGGGACATTAATAATAAGACTTGATGGGTTGCGTGTGTGAGTTTTCTGAATAGAAGCTCCCACGTCTCTTTTTTTATTCCATAACGATGCAAGACTTACATATACACGCCAAACAGTTGTTTGAAGCACTCTATTCTATATAATTTATACAGGCCTCTAAGCTTTTTAAACCATTGTACGTCACAGTGTTTGTAATATTTTCAGTGGCTTTTGGTCCAGTCAACTTTTAATCTTCAATAATAATATGCTTAGTTATGAACGTTTTTCTAAATCCCGCGAAATCTGAAGTTGCACGGCTGCTCTATTAGCTTGTGCATACAAAAGAGGCCGATTAACAACAGAGAGTTTCAGATATGGTGATACCGACATTACAATGTTAAACTTTGACCTGATCACATGTGTGCTTATGAGCAAAATCCTGAATCCGTCCTGTTCAGCATATTTAGAGTCCGATGAATACCACCATTAATTTATTAATTAAGTTTATTAATATATTTTATATTTATAATTAAGTATTTCTTAATCTTCCTTGGGGCCTACTACACAATTCGAAGCAGGCTGCCAAACCGCAACAAGAACTTAAAACTCAGGATAATAATCGTAATGCTGGCGTGCTTGAGACGAATCGATCTAGTAATACATGTAGCACTCAGTAAATGCTGATATCTGTGCATTCAGCTGCTATGGTGAGTTGACCCCGAGACGGCAATGTTTGGTGCCCATTCCTATCTGGAATTAACCTGCGTTATCTTTCACACACTGCGACTGCCCTCCAACAGGGCCACAGAGAGAATCATTAGAATGTCTCCACTGTATGCTCACCGATATTAATCTGGCTTGCACATTTCTATGTTGTTCGGCTAGCACAAAAATGGCGCCGCCAACCAGTTAGTTTCTGGCAGAGAGTATAGGAGGAACACCTCCTTGTGCACGCACAGACATGTATATAATATACTGATATCGTTCTGGCACTGCACAATAAACAAGATGGCTTTGCCTGTGTACAATAATATATAATTAATGCGCAAAAATGTCCATGGTGGCTAATAATTTGAGAATTAAAAACAACGGTTGGTAACTAGCTTCGATACCTCATATAGATCCCGATCAATCTATGTCCAGCGTCATGAAATACTCAGTAGATCAACAGGTCACCAGGGGTCAAATTTTATGGTTTTGAGAGAGTATTTGGGATGATCTGTAAATACTGTATACTGAGTGTATGATGTGTCCACGGCGTCTTCAAGGATGGGCACTGCCTTATATAAGCAGTTTGGTACTGGAAAATTGTCTGTAACGCCAGAAAAGTCGTTATTTGTTTAGATTATATATCACTTTAATGAAAAAAAGCAATTAAAGTGGAAGTATTTGAACGTTTGTTGACAGAGGTGGGTCGAACACCCGAACAGGCATTTCAAATTAGTTTAATATTTCCAACAAAGTGAACGTCTTGGTATTTGTGAGAGCAAAATACATTTTGTAACTCCTCCATTAGCAACAAAAATATCCCGATTTGTTCGCTAGAAAATCTTTATAGTTAAAGAAAGATTACATCTATAAAACTGCTGTAAAATGCTATAAAAATGCTGAATGCTGTCTTGTTATATAAAATGACTTAATAACATTATTAAGGAGAATTACAAAGCAGCTAATTCTTAATTGCGACACGAAACTTATAGTGGCGCCGTTCAATTGACTTAGGTACCGGTAAGTACATAATTAATTTATTCATTTTATTCTTGGATCTACGTATATTCACTTTGTAATACACGCAAAATGACAAATATTCTTGAATGTAAATATATATTTATAATAATAGTAATAAAATTTAAAAAATAAAAGAAGAAAACGGAAGTGTGTGGGAATCGAATTCACACCGGGGTGCTTAATAGCCAAAGGCGTTATCAGGGGCGGATCCAGGATTATTTGAAGGGGGGGTCCCTTTTTGCCGGAAAAAAGGTCCCCTCTTAGTAAAATATTATCTAGGTGCATGAAGGTTTCATGACAAAAGGTCTATTTTTTTCAGAAAAAGAACTCCCTTTAGAAATTGCCGGGCCAGGTCAACTTCTTCGGGGACTGTATCTCGCCTACTGCAACGCGTCCATTGCAGATGTGTGTGAATGGAACTTGAAGTGGGCAACTAATATAGATTTCTATTTGATCATTCGGCAAAGTAAACAGTCAATGGATTGTACAAATCAAGCGACGCAGATATACAATGTTAAGCTTTGATGAAAAGATTTTGAGACCAAACTCATATTGGCAGTTCTATGTGTGTTTTACGCTTTGTTGGAGACGAATGCATTACTTTTCAATTGTGTTACCAGATTAAATATACATGTTTGCTCGTAACGGTTTCATGACAAAAGGTCCATTTTTTTCAGAAAAAGAACTCCCTTTAGAAATTGCGGGCCAGGTCAACTTCTTCGGGGACTGTATCTCGCCTACTGCAACGCGTCCATTGCAGATGTGTGTGAATGGAACTTGAAGTGGGCAACTAATATACCTGTACATTTCTATTTGATCATTCGGCAAAGTAAACAGTCAATGGATTGTACAAATCAAGCGACGCAGATATACAATGTTAAGCTTTGATGAAAAGATTTTGAGACCAAACTCATATTGGCAGTTCTATGTGTGTTTTACGCTTTGTTGGAGACGAATGCATTACTTTTCAATTGTGTTACCAGATTAAATATACATGTTTGCTCGTAACGGTATTCAATATTGCAGTGACATAGTATGACCATACAGTGCGTCAGTGGCCACAGCTCAACACAACTACATGTACGCACTGCATAACGCAATAAAAAAAGACCTTTTTAAATCATTTCTATCCTAGATCCCATCAAATTAAGAGTGGTGAGTTTTGGACGCACATAAATCTTAATGACATCGTGATAAATGGATGTTTGATAAATGCATCTATATCAAGATTGATAGTCTTGTTATTTTTCCTGCTTTGTTTTATGTGTCGTTGATAAGTCACTTATTTGCATTCTGTGTCATCAATCATCTACATATAAAATATCAACGTCCATTTCACTAGCTACATGTGTGTGTATTATTATGCAACTCTGAAGATCTACCTAACAGATGTTATATATATATATATAATCCAAGCTTTCGGCCTTTAGATTATCCCCGAAGAAGGCCTAGATGCGGAAAACTTGGATTATATATGACATCTGTTAAGTAGATCTTCAGAGATGCATCAGTAATAATACTTATTTTTCCTTAGAGATCTATACAGCGAGTTGACATGAATCTTCAACTAACTATGTGTACAACACCTTCGACACTTGACATGATTCTGGTCGTTTAGGTACGTGTACAGGGTACAACATGTACCGGCCTATATATCAGAAGGATGAAAATCGTCCCAAATTTTTGAATTTCATCTTCTCAAAAACTATTCACTAACATTCGATGACATTTCGCCTAATATGAAACACGATATCGCCTCTAGTGCTTATAAGATTCGTCTCGAAAGCTTATGTGGTATTCAATATAAACATGATTGCTCAAACACGCAATATTATTACTCGCCTTGTAGTGCCCTACTTGATGACTTTTCCCAGTTAATCAACATAAATCCACTTTTGAATATTTTAAATGAATAAATAAAAGTACAGTTTTAATCAGGTTTACGCTCAGAAATGTAATTTTAAACAAATGTGTAATTTAATAACATTTGGTACCTTTTTTAATTAGTTTTTTTTCAATATATAATAAACATAACAAAACACAACATTGATGGATTTTATAAGTGGCTCCCCATAAACCAAGGCGAACGTGAATATTTTACCTATGTTCTCTTTTATATATATATATATACAGGTTCGACTTGGATCACTAGCGAGTACCTGGTGACGTGCTTTGTCGTGAGAAAAATACGTCGCTACCGATTGTGTGAAGAACATTTCAGTACAGACGAGGCACTTTTTTTTTTTTACTGAGTGGCCATGTACCAAATAATATACAGGAGGGCGGAGTTTTCACGACAAACGTTCTTTATTTGCAATGGCGTTGCAGGGATTTCATTTGCCCACAGACCATATGAAAGTTTCGATTGCTTGTTAGTTTTCGTTGAGTATTGATTTGATAATAACACAGCTTGTATGTAGCATGGAAACTGCATTGCTAAATTCGGGCGACAAATAAAAAAATAACGCCACGGAAAACCTGTAGCACTGTGATCTTTTCTTTCGTTGCATATTTGTACGAGTGGATCAAAAATCCGTTCTCCAAGCGATTGCAATTATCCTCAGCACTACTTGCAGCATGAAAAATATATTTAAAAGAGCAAATAAGGGCCCAGTTTCATCACCACTGGATAGTGCTATCTTATGAATCCAAATCTAACTCCAAATCTCACTATCCAAAATTATTTTCATATGGACTCAATAAAACAAAGTTTCACAAACACTGCATACTTCTTTGACTCTGATATTGTTTTCCAGTGGTTGAAAATGCCTGCTGTTCTCAGGACAACAGTCCACATGATAACAGTGTTATGCTGTGGATACTTCTATCCAGCGTTGATGAAATCCGGCCAAGATGTTTAAAGCGGTTTTATAAGGAAACACGCAAAAAATTTACTGGATCTTGGACTACCAAATATTGTTAAGGCCCCAAATTTGAATAAAGTCACCAACAGTACCAACATTTTGAAACCAGGGATAACGAGAGACTGTTACAGTGGCAGCAGAGAGAGACCGCCAGTACTAGGACTTTGAAACCCAAGGTAACGAGGGACTGCTACAGTGGCAGCAGAGAGTGACCGCCAGTATCAGGGCTTTGAAACCAGGGGTGACGAGAGACTGTTACAGTGGCAGCAGAGAGAGATCGCCAGTACCAGGATTTTGAAACCCAAGGTAACGAGGGACTGTTCGGTGGCAGCAGAGAGAGACCGCCAGTACCAGGATTTTGAAACCCAAGGTAACGAGAGACTGTTACAGTGGCAGCAGAGAGAGACCGCCAGTACTAGGATTTTGAAACCCACGGTAACGAGAGACATTTGCTGTGTAATGAAGAGCTAGAGTTGGTGTTTTGATGTGTAGTATTTCCGTCACGTCTTGGGATTCTTTTATGTACTTACCCAGAGGTGACCTTAAATCGTCTGCTTTATAAAGGGATAAGTATCCAAAAGCCGTCAGAAGAATAAGAACCGTTGTTGTTGGTATTATAACGTATCGCTTCATTATTCTGGCTGTTCCCGGTTATCCTATCGGTCCAAGCGACGACGCTGGTCTGTTACTGTGGGACCTATTATTATATAAGATATTGCTTTAACAACGTTAAGCCACAGGCACGCTACCTGGCGGAGTGATATAGAAAACAAATACCGTTCACAATATGTTAGTTGGCCCTGTAGCGATGGCATTGCAAGTGCGTCCGGTTTATTTGTATTCGATGCTTTTGCCTTGAATTAAGTTAAAGAATGAACATGAGTTACGTTTTAACTGGGAAAGACAGAACTCTTTGTCAGCGGATGAAGAGCAAAAATCAGGTGACTGCTTGGAGGGGTCCTTCCCAAAGTTTGAATCGTTCATTTAATTTGAGCTGCACAGTAGCCTTTCGATCTGTCCAGTATATAGAACAGGCTTCGAGGTGACTTTGCATTAATTGTAATTACATGTTGCTTATTAATCCTTTAGTATTATAATGATGATATCTTTGTAAATCTTGGTTCTTTTTTCTTCAATTGACCCCTGCCAGCATAGTAAAGATTCAGGGCGTTTTTCTGTACTTTATTAGACATGTCATAAGAAAGTTATGTTCAGGTAAATTCTAACAGAAATTTTCAAATTTTTTCTCGAATTAGTTTTAAATATTGAATTCATTATATTGAATTTATTAAAGAAAATAGTTTTACATCCTTTATTTTGGCAGTCTGCTGGGTAAATGACTATAGAATACATTTTAAGGGCGTTTTGTTTTTACTTTGATGGTCGTAGTGAGATAACAATATAATTAATTTTTCCTGAATTTATCCTGAATTTTTGTTTTCGAAGGAAGGCCACTCAAGACACTGTTCGCTGAAAAAAGGAGAAAACAACTGATTTTTCCACAGAAACAAGTGAAAAACATGAATTTTACAGTCATTTGCTAAATAGTTTAAAATGAGTAAAATAAGTTTTGGTCTAAATCAACAATCTCCCTCCTAATTTCAATTTGGAAATTCACCTCACCGTTAATTCACCTCCAAGCATGCTCAAACTTGCGTTGCCCTTAAAACCAACTGGGTTTATTTAACACCAAATAATCTGCTGCGTTTTAATAGTTCAATTCAAGGAGACCCTTTGTATGTTTTATAATTGCCAATGGCTAAATTCTTTTCATTGCCAATGGCAAATAATACATTAAGAAATGTGATTGAAATATGGCATAATCACCTATGACATTATCACCTTTATCGCTGTTACTATGGTATTGAAAGTGCAATCAAATTGGTTTCATGCCCCGAAAGCTATTTTAACCGGCTTCCACATAAAGTAAGCAAACAAACACAGAGTACTGATTATTCGAGATTTTATTGTACTTATATTTATTATGGCTACAAAAGCCAAAATGGAAATCAAATGCCTGTGAGATATTATTATGACCTTGTAAGGTCTAATCCTCTACCCGTTCTTTTCACACTCCGTCCTCAGGCCTAATAGACAGTATCACATTTTTTAATGAACTGGCCAGGATATAATGCGGGTGCGTTTGAATATAGCAGGGTTCATATAAATAGGCCTATAGCCAAAGTTTTTTTTTATTTTATTCATTTTTATTACTTCTCTGTTTTATATTTTAGCATGAACACATTTCAGAATGATTTTATTACTTATATTAGAACGATTTTATTATGTGATATTATTGTGGGAATTATGTGAATTATGGGAATTCCCGAGGTGGGAATAAAATAATAATTATCCAAATCATTATGCTGGTATAATAAATATAATAAATACATGTACATGTATTCACAACAAATGTTGCACGATTTTTTTTTTATTTGCATGGTTGCGAAAAGGCCATTTTCTTGGTCAGGAGGTCACTTTCTGGTTTAGCAGCCGAGGAAGACCCCACAAAGGAAAGCCAGGTAGAGGTGACACTCACGTCGTTGGCCTAACTTTCTATAGAACTGGGATATTTTTTTAAATATTGTAGAGTTCTTTGTGAACTCATAATTATAAGTAATATAAGTAAGTAAATATAAGTAATACTCATTTTTTCTTGAATTAAAAAAATCGAATTATTGTACTGTCCTGCAATCCGTAATCTGAACTACTCTTTTTTTAACCGAAATCTACACTCATTAGCACTCCTGTTTTATGTTTTCTGATATTTATGCTAGGTGGTCGCACGAACAGACCCTAGTGCATAAACGAAATGTAAACGTGAAATAGGAGTGCAGTATTTCGTGCAAGTCGGCAACCATACTTGATTTGAAATTTTATCGCAGACACTTTGTGTAGATCAAACAGCCTGATACATGGAGAGATTTTTTAGTCTGAATCGAGAGATCGAGAGAAATGTCCCCAAATTGGGAGACTCCCGACGAGATTGGGAGTGTTGACGGTTGAGTGTGTGGTAAGGAATACTGGGGAGGATGTTATACATAGTGGGTAGCTACAACCCCTATTCGAGAGGAAATAGACTATAAAATCATTTGACACGCGTGATATACATGTATTTGTAAGGTTACTACCGTCAATGGCGTTGATACCTGCAAAAATGGGGAGGATAACGAACCGTTTCAGTGTCTGCAACCCATTGAATATGGAGTGGAAATAATTGGGGAAAACTGCTACCGATGAAAAAAGGAGGTAGGGAAAGATAACCCTCAACCCATCAAAATGGGGAAATAAAGTGAAGGCAACAGTGTGGGTCTACTTGTATACAGTATCACCAGTAGGCGGCAGTGCAATGTAAGTGAGAACGGATTCTGCTAACAGGAACAGGATAACAGGAAAATTGAATTTAGAATTATTTTAAAATTATTTTTATTTTAAAATTATTTTTAAATTCACAGTCATAATTTTAAAATAATATGATTATAAATGCTTAGTTACAGTTAGTGAAAAGGCTGACTAAACTCTCATGACAATACAGACTATATTCTCTTTATATGTACATGTACTATACACAAGATGAAGCACGAAAATACATGTATGACAGAAGTGATACATATATTTAGGGATATTGAAGCCAATCAAAATACATTTACTAAAGACCTTTAACACAATTTAACTGAGGCTAAAGCCATGAAAGAAATTATTCAATCTTTTTTACAACTGAAATTAAAACTTGATTACAGTTCTTTCTAATGGATAACAAACATTTACATTAACTCTGCATACTCAATGATGTAACTAAACTTTGGCATACTTTGATAAAAATAAGAGGCTTCTCAAATGTAATTTCACAATAAGAAATGGCCTTTCTACATCTAGCGTTTTATCTTGATAAATTATATATTTGATAAATAATGACAATTACATTATATTTCAATAAAAACTATTCAAATGAATGTAAAAAAGTGACACGAAAATGCCGATACTAAAAATGTGCAATGTTATAAATTAAAACACTTTGTTAAATATTATAATGTATCTACAGTATAAGTATCATAGTGTAAACCAACGCACAATAAAGAAGAGTAAAACACAGGCAGTGTATAGGTGACAATTAAAGGTTTTAAATATTTGTCTATGTAAAATATAGTTTTTACTGCATAAAACCAAATTTTGGCAACAACTGTAAGTTTTTTGAAATTGTAAGTTTTCAATAAAACCAAAGATATTTAAAAAAGGATTGGTTTTTGTTGTCGTGAAAGACAGCTTGTTCATTTCCATTGCATTAGTTAGAGGCCATTCAGAACATACGCTCATATCGGTACCTGCCTTGAGGAGCACATTAACACACGATTTATATGCCC